AACAACACGCCTTGACTTCGTAATTATTTTTAATAGATTTTTACCTAAGAGGGGTAATATCTATGTAGGCATAACAATTTTAATTAACTTGTTTCTTCTTTTTCTGCTCCAACACTAGAAGGAACTAGTCGGGAATTTCCGAAGTACAGACGTAAGGAAAATATCTATCTAAATTAACTTATATTTATCTTTTAATATTTGGTTTTATGCTCATTAACAAAGACATTAAATGACTAATCTATCAATCGGAATGCCTTTGCTATAAGTGTGTCGATCAAGCGGTGCCACACTCCGCCAGCTAATTGACCCGATTGTGGCGGCGGCACGAGCGACTGCCGTCATCCGATGAAGATACAACATGTGTTCTGTTGTCCTAAATACGAATCTGTGTGATGCTGAGACTTGGCCGTTCACGTTTACCGTTTAAGAGCAACCTGTAACACCATAAACCTCAAACGTTAACCATCACTAACCGTCTAGTATAAATAATACGTGTTTGTGTACATAGTTTGGTAACGTCTTAATTGCTTAAAACTGGCCATCGTGAATTTTCGCATAGAAATTGTCGAAGGTGTACAGAAAAGGTTAATTAATAAACAGTACTATTCTCAACGGTTATATGTGACAAAATGTACTTTATCATGAGCAATTCCACGACAAAATATTACTTCACAGGTGGTTCCATCATAAGGGAAACTCTTAGCCCACGAGTTCAACTCACTTATTTAACATTCATTTCCTCACTAGCTAATAAATCGATGTAACAGATCGGTAGAATACTAAAAAAAGACCTAGTTAACAGCACGGTCTCACCAATATTGAAGAAACGCCATCCATCACGGAATTAATAAGATGGAATCTTCATATAAAAGTATTTCATAGAAATACCTGTAAGTATTAAGCGTAGGTTTCGTTTGACTCGTATTAACTTGTAGGAGAAAAGGAAAAATAACCTCTAATAAAAAGTCGTAGAAACGAAAAAACCTATCGATCCTCCTGCCGGAGCTAATAAATATGGGAAATCAATCAGTTGGTCCTTCGAGCAGCGATCAAGCCATGCGCAAGTAATGCTGACGAATGTTATCTTAACCGTGAAGGCAGCATCTGTCTGTTCAGGTATTCTGAATTGAAATATTCGTCATATTATTTCTTTTTATGTAAAATAAAAATGGTGTCACTTATATCAGTCAAAATTCCTGATATTTACGTCTCACTGGCATGTTCGCTGGTATTACGATATCGTGCTTATTATTATTTAGTCAATGTAATAATTTATAGAGAACAACAAAATAATATAGAGAAATAATGCAAGTGATTTGTAGAAAATATTGTTGCTTTGAGTTTTGAATGATTTATAGACTATTAAAGTCTAAAAATCGCTCAAAACTCAAATCATAATACGATTCTTTGTCAATCGGAATGTTTCAATTGGTCTGACAAGGCATAATATTTCTAACCCCGGACATATCTGACAAGTGAAGCACGAATAATGCTGACAGATGTCAGCCGTGTGTAGGGTGGCCACCTGTCCGCCCTAGCCGAGATATTATATTCCGACACTTACAGTGTTACATGGCAAAGTGAAGTGTTTGGGTCTGCTAAAGTTACAAGTATTATTAACAGAGGTTATTGAACAAAACATTTTTTTACAATGTAGGTGGTAAACGAGCCGGGTCATCTGATAGTCCATGGACACCTGCGACCTAAAAATCATTGTCTTGCTGCAATTTACATAACCGTCCTCCCTTCTCCCCCCCACACACCCCCAGAAATAGGGTTTGGCTTCGAGTAACTGTAGTAAATATGAATCCATTCAGGGGTTTTTTGTTGCTACAGATTTACTATATCGTGTCACCGGTGTCTGTGTTTGCAGGGGCCGTCGCGCCCTATAAATATGTCACAATGTATCTGTCTATCACCCGGTGGTATTATCTCGTCGTTGCCACACTCGTGGATACGGAAGTAATCCTTATCATCCACACTAACATTGTAAATGTAAAATTATGTTTGTTTGTTTTTTTTGTACGCTTTCGCGCCTAAATTGCTTAATTTCATCATGAAATTGTGTATAAATATTGTTAGGGTTATGTAATTTTTACATTAACAAAGGGTAGGTACCATGTTTCATATTGAAAAAAGTAATATTTGCGAAAGGGAACTAATTAAATGTGTTGATAGTAAACCACAAATCTTTGTGGGGACTCGCAATTCTGTTTCTAGTAAGTAAATGATAAGGTATTAGTACTATTTAAACAATAATATACGTTAGGTTCTAGGGAACCGGTACCTAATATACCAGGCCTTATATACTTACCGGTGCATTAACTAAATTGATTTTATGTACCTTATTGTAATTTAAATTTATTCCTTGTAATAAATAATTGCACAAATATCTATTTTGATGTATTTCGATATGTAAGACATCTAATAATTTTATTCTGTGAACAATGGAAAATTTAATGAAAATGAGAATAATGCGTAACTTACTTTTTGTTATTATTGCATGTGAAAAAAGCCTTTTTTATCTACTTAGCTGGCGATATGCCTGCCATTATAACTGAATTATAACGCATAATCAAAGTAGGTCACCACTAATAACTCATTTGCTCCAATTCACAATTGTAGGTCAACTTAACCCGCTCAACACTTAACTTACACTAATACTAAAGTTTACCCGTTCAGCTGCACAGCGGTAGCTACCAACTGTAGGTATATGTTAATATAGTTCTTTTTCGTTTAGCTAATTCAGTAAGATATTTTGTACCAATAATTGTTTACATGTAAATACATACCATAATGTCAATTATTATTGTCATTTGACAAACTTCGCGCATCATCATTGTCAACTGCCATTAACAGTCCACTGCTGGACATAGGCCTATCCTTAAAAAAGAGTTTTTGGCTCTTCTTAGTAAGGACCAAAACTAGGGTTACTTCCTGCATGACATTTCAAACAAAATAGTCACAAGAAAACACTCTCATTTTCCCAAATTTTATTTTTATTATGGATCCTGACCATATTATATTCTCAAGGTTTGACCAATGCTTTGCATTCCATTCCATTCCAACAGGTAATACGCATTGAAAACATTTTCGCATAATAATTCTAAATATTTTCTAATTTCCAGTTAACTTTTTATAGCGAATATAAAACTTATCGTTAACTAACCGCCATTATTCCAGTTTTACGAATCGTAAATTAATGTTGTAGCTAATAAACTCCTCATCCACTTTATCATATAGATTTATCTCTTCAAATTAATTTACTTAATACCTATTACAACATATAACAACTACATGTATAACTAGATTTTTGATTCCCTGAAAATTTGTCCTCCTATTGTAGATAACACAAAACTTTTTTAATTAATGCCCGTATTTTGTGACTTATCGACATGACTTCTGTTGTGGCTTCAGGCTCATTTATTTTATCTTATCAAACAGTTAACCGAACATCTATCTAGCGTACCCTACTAACAAACATACGGAACTAAAAAACATACGGTAGACACGGGTAAACATGGCTATCGGTGGTCAATCACAAACAATCGAAAGTGGCTCAATAGTCAATAATGTCTTGTCTGTCTACCGAGATTTACTGTCCGAGTGCGTACGCGCATGCGGGCGGATGGCGCCATCTTTTTTTTATTGAGTTAGTGTGTTAGCCACAGGTAGCGACTTTATAGGACTTTCTGACAGTTTTTATTTTATTAATACGTTTTCTAGTAGTAATTATGCTAACTTACTCCTAAAACAAGCATTTAGCTTATCTGGTGGGGCTGCCATGAATATATAATGTAATATTTGACTGCACGGATGGCGTAGTGGTTTAAGCGGTCGCCACGCCGCTTCCTACTACGGCGAGTGTTGTGGGTTCAAACCCCACATGGGACGACACTTTGTGTGATCCACAAATTGTTGTTCTGAGTCTGGGTGTTCTTTGTGTCCGTTTCATGCATGTTTGTAAAGTCCCCCGCGACACAGGATAATATATTCCTAATGCGGTAGTTGTCTTTTTAAAAAAAAAACAAAAAAATAAAAAACAATAGTAATGGGTATAAATACTAGAACACAGCTAGACACAGCCCACTCTCAAGATTTAAAAGTAGTATTGGATAGATGTTGTTCTAGTCTATTACTCATACTTCAAAACTAATCGAGATAATTTTGTGTGCGCTAGGGAGTAAAGTTCCCTCAATTGTGCCTCATGACTTGCCTCATCATCAAATCATCAATCTCAAACGAGCCGGGCTCTTATTTACACATGTAAATGAAATAAAGACAGTAAAAAGGTTAACAATACTAGTTATAATTCTACATAGGTAATGTTATTTTACGAGCATTACTTTTTTTGAGGAACTTTTGAACACATTTCATGCCAGTTCCATTGAAGACTAAATATACTTTACAAAACAAATTCGGTGTATGTTATCATAAGTTAGAAGCTAGTATAAATTAAATATGCAAAGTAGTATGAAATGCCTTATACTGATGCCAATCTATAAATCATGCTAGCCTCTCGTGATAAAGGCTTAGCTAGAAAGTTGTTAAATATACCTAAGTCTAACTTATAAGGATTAAACTCCTTAATCACATAATTTATTTCATAACATAACTTGTAATTGTTCTTTTTCTGATTACTAAAGATTGGCTTTTAGTCTCTTACACTCTTCGTTGTTCGTGGTCAGGCCGAACGACGTATGTAAAATTGTTATATTTTATATTGTTGTTATATTGTCTACGATACCGAGATATTCCAACTGGTGGTTTTTGAATGTTTAGCACTCATTTTGAACTATTCTAGATAGTAAAAATGTTACTAAACTAATACTTATTTGCCAATTTCTCCTTCTTAATCACAAATATGGTCACCCTCCTTGAAATTCACAAACAGTACGCCGATCGGCACCGAAGTCCCCCGAGTGCCCCCGATCTGTCGGCGGTGGGCGTCTGGGCGACAGATGCAATATCGATAAATAGGGCTTTGTCAGATTAATGACATGTGGATTGTGGAAGGATATCATGGTGATTGTAATCTATTGCACGTTAAGTGGGGATTGTGTTGCGTTGTGATGTATGGTCGCGACAAGGAACGTGTCGGCGAATATTGATGAAATGTAATCTTTAATTTCATTGGTAGAGCCATGCTTCGGCACGAACGGGCCGGCTCGACCGGAGTGATACCACGGCCTCAGACCGAAACCGGTGTCAAGCAATTTTTTTGTTGCCTTTCACTTAGTGAGTGAGGTTACCGGATCTCAAATCCGTGAGGTTACCGGACTCCGAGGGCGGCAACGCACTTGTGACTTTTGAGTTGCAGGTGTCCATAGGCGGCGGTAGTTGCTTACCATTAGGTGACCCGTCTGCTCGTTTGCCCCCTTATACCATAAAAAAAAAAAAACTCTTCGTAATTGGCTTGTGAGCGATGTAATAAAGAGGTCAAGAGTATCCAAAATGGTTAGAAGTCAGTGTTTTGTACGCATAGGGTCAATTCGATAAATTCAGTGTTAGTGGCAAAAGATTAAGTGGTAGCTGTTGGGTCATAACATTAGGTACAAAAGAAGAATTGTAAGAATGTCACGACTTGAAATAATAAGTGGTAGTCGGGTCGCGCGTAATGCTGGACTTAACGTTAGGAGACTATTACTCTTGAACTAATAGCACTCACTTGGCTTTGATAGTATTTTCTCTAAATTTGTTACAAATACTATCATAAAAACATAATTTTCCTTTGATTATTCACAGAGCGACTAGAGAAAGGAGGATGAGGGGGGGGAGAGGATACTTGACTTCAAAGTTTATTATTTACAAACGGATCATTAAATCGATATGCTACCACCACATCTTACAAAAAGACTTGTAGGACGATGTCCTACACTATGGAATGAACGAGAAAAATTACGTACCCGCTTTGACTTAGAAAACGTTATCCAGCTTCAACTAAGCATAGCTGGTACCTTCTGTGAAATATATATGATATTTTTTTATAAATACATGCATATCATATATATTTGCAGATCATACAAACATTTGGTCCGACCCGGCAATCAAACCCGAGACCTTAGAACAGTAGTCGCATACGCTCGTTTAATATTACAGCTTTCTGGTACTAACAACTCTTAAAGCTGGAACGGACGGATCGTGTCTTTCTCTCCTACTAAGTACGCAAAGAAATATAAATTTTAATTAAGCCTGTATATCTACTTTGTAATAGATAAAACATGTGTGCTTATCCCTTTGCAACTACGCAGTATGATGAGTCAAACAGCTGTTTATAATAAGAGACAAACCTACATAAAGAATACCGCACATTTTCATTTTATCTGCAGAAACGTTTAGGAGACTTCAAATGAGGCGTCCGGCTTGTTGTCGACTAGGTCTGTGTACAGTACCGACAAATCGCCATTCACACATTTTTCTTTAAAAGACAACTCACGCGCTAGGAATATATCCTGTGTCACGGCGTACTGTACAAGGGGATATCGAAGCTCTGTAGAAAGACTGATTTTAGTCTTTTTAGGGTTCCAACTATGCGTAACGATTGCCACAGATCATTCCGGCGGCATAACGTGCTCTTTGAGCACGAGAGATAGATAGAGAGAGGGGTGTTATGAATGGTCACCCATCCATAGACTGACCTCTCTAGGATTGCTTAACTTTACAATGTGTTAATCTACACGGTCACCACTTAGCCACGAGTCCCTCTCTTTCAATATATTCCCCATTTTTTCATTTCCAATTCCAAAGTGCCTGATCGGCAACTGGCATACCCCAACACGTGTAGGCATTACCTACGCTTATATCTACTCCTTAGGAAATACAGGCATGAGTGTTCGTATGTACTGTATACAAAAGAAACTAATATATTAAGGCCCTGTCGTCACTCAAATATAAAAATGTATATAAATATAAATATATATATATATATATATATATATGTATGTTTATCTATAATATGGATGTATCCAAGAATATATAAGTATGTTTATCAGCAGTCTTGTTACCATAGCACCGGCTCTACGTAGTTTGGGATCAGACGGCCGTATATGAGGATATGTGAGGTATATTTTATTATTATATATGTAAGAAAAATGATTTTATAAACAACAATTATTATGTTACCACAAGACAGATGTTCTTGTTCTTATAGCTCAGTAAGTGCGAAGTTGAGAAGCTCCGAGATTGTCGAGTGTTACGAGCACGATGTACCTAACTCTGAAAATCTTCCTTATTTTTGGCAAGTTTTCTTCATGTAACGAAACATACAAGTTACAAACTTCTTCTATTTTCACCAAACTATAACAAAGTCGAGCGTTAAACTTCGTCAAATTGTAGACTATTCAAATATTGTTGTGTACGCAAACAAGGGTACAGCCCTCTCGGTGGTGTATGTTTGTGGGCGGATGAGATAAAATTTATACGTATAGGAATAAATTTTATCTTGTCTCTCCTTAGCTTTACTGATCTACGTACCTAATAGTAGTATTTAAAACGTGTATTTTTTTAGATAGATAGATTGATAAACTCTTAATTGTACAGTAAAATTCCGTAGGTTTGTCATATTCATATCATATTCAAGCTAAAATCTTAATTTGCCTATTTCCTTAAATTACAAAACTGTGAATATTGTTAGTTCTGGTGAGAATATATAAATTAAATAAGTAGAATTACCGTTTACTGAGTGTTAATGTGTTCGCTAAAACCGTAACATGCCACTGTACGTTCAATTTATTTAATGATCCTAAATCATTTTTAATTATCCTTCAATTATACGCGTAAACATTTTTTTATTGTTACGGTCATTTAGTCTAAATGTGTTCCGTCAATGTTTCTAACATATAGCTATAAAATTATTGGGTATGTGTAAAAGAGATAACAAACCAAGATTATAAAATTATTTATTTTTCCTTAGATCGCCTCGCGGTCGCAATTCAACCATAATTTAATTTTTATATTACCAGTATAAGTTTAAATATCATTGTGAGACTTTCCATATCATGACTGGTCCGGTTCCATTAAATATTCTACATTGTTTCTTCTTGTGATCCCCGTCAATTAATGCAACACCTAATTTGATAAGAATCTTAATGAGCCCCTAGATATACTGTGTTATTAATTGATGACATTTTTTAGTGCAGCCGTACAACATTTGACTCCAAAGTTACATTGTAGTCCAATACTGTACTGCTGCACTAAACTGAAAAAAAACTAAATTCTTAATGAAACGGCAGAATCATCCAATCGATAGTGCAGCAGCCAATTTTCCTACACTCATGGTGTACGAATATATGTCTGTATGTGTGTAGATACATATATATGTGTATAGTGTGTGTATGTGTATTTATATATATGTGTATATGTGTGTGTATGTATATGTGTATAGCGTGTATTTGCTTGTGTATAAAACAACGTGTGTTGTGTAGTGATTAGTTTTATAACCTAAATGCGCACTCTCAATTTCTACACTACCTAAAGGTTGACTGGGAGAGAATGCCTTGGGCGTTAAGTCCGCCGAAGTACAAATGTACATAAAGTTATAAATAAATAAATATCTTATCTTATCGCTATTCTGTAATCTATAGTACAGGCTTTGCTTGACGTCTGGCCCAGAACCTTAATATTAACGTAAACTTATCATCTTTCCAGGAGGTGAAGACCCGTCCACAGACCCGGGCGTGCGCTTCACTAACGAGCCAGCGGACGTGGTGATAGCGCCCGGCGACAGCGCCCTGCTGCCTTGCTCGGTCAACGCGCGTCGTGGGTTGAGACTGCAATGGCGGCACAGCGCCACGGGTACTCCGACCAGGGACCATGCCATCACCGACACCGACAAATACAGGTCAATATATAAATTTGCAACTGAGTATACCTTAAGACCTTCCTGATGGTAAGCGGTTCCTATTCTTAAAGATATTTACAGCTCCACCTAGTGAACTCGCCCACCCTGACTGTCTCTTTCTCTACTGAAAGAAAAGTTAGTAGTAGTGGGTGGGGAGTTTGCTCCCAATTTAGTATCTAACAAATTAATTGTTGGATGGGGTTAATCTTAGGGGTATCCAGTTAAATCAGTTTCCTAATGCTATAAGTAATTGTAATATCTAGTTGTATTTGTTTTGGAACTTTATAAAGTGAGATTTTAAGAAGTCAACAACAGTAACTCTTCATTATTACGACTTAAGTTGTGGCTTACTAAGCAGCAGAAACGCAATGTTATTTAAGTACGGATCTCCAAGGGAAACGTTTAAAAATCTGCAGTAATACAAGTTTTGCTATAAATCCAAGGCCGTCTCACATCTTCAGCAGTCTCCTGACAGAGATACATTACAATGTAACTCACAAACAGCACACGTCGTCAAACGCGTCCTCGCTATGAAATTCATAGCGGCTGCACCGTTTATTCCGCTTCGTCGACTATAAAACTGTGATAAAATATGCGAAGGAATACGACCCTCGTGTTTCAGCGCTGAATTCTATTTTAAATGTATTTTTGTAGTTCTTAAAATGTTGCTAAAGGCTAAATCCGTATTTAATGGGGACGATGTTCTTTAAAATGGGCTTCGGTGGTATGAAAGGGTCTAAATATGTTGGTATTGTAATATCGTTTGTGTAACTTCCAGACGACACCTACCAAACGGCTCCCTGTCCATCGAGAACATGTCAGCTTCGCTTGCGGGGCAGTACCAGTGCGTGGCGACCGTCGACGGCATCGGGACCATACTCTCGAGGCAGGCCACCGTCTTCTTAGCCGGTGAGTAGAATCAGCACATGATACTACGAGTCAGAGATACGGAAGTAATCGTCCAACTGAAACATAAGTATTTCTTACACACTGCAGACCAGCATTAGTAATACTACAACATATCGTTATGTACTAAGCGGTTGGCGATTAAAAGGCCAAAGCTTATTTGAAAAGGTTATTTCAAAAACTAACGATAATCATATGATACAATTTGTTTGTACACCACAACAATAAGTATGAACATACATGTTACAGTAATGTAATGTATAATCATCTTTATCATCATTTATCTATTGACCTTAACTCAAAACAACTCAGAATTGGAAAAAATTGATTGATTTGATTGAAATATTAGTAAATTATGATGTTAACGACATTGTTAAATATTACCAAAAAATGTAATATGAGTCTGACACTTCATAATTTTAACTTTTTTAAATAAGAATACAAATCAGATCAGATCTTATTTGTAATTATTTTTAAAAAAAAGTTAAAATTATGACGGGCCCGTCGGTCTAGTGCTTAGTGACCCTCACTGCTAAACCGAAGGTCGTGGGTTCGATTCCCACCCAGAACAAATATTTGTGTGATGAGCACGATCGTTTGTTCTGTGTCTGGGTGTAATTTATCTATATTATGTATGTATTTAGAAATATATAAGTATGTTTATCAGCAGTCTGGTTACCGTAGTACAGGCTCTGCCTTGTTTGGGAACCGACGGCCGTGTGTGAGATGTGTGAGGTTATTAATTCTTATTTAAAAAAATGTTAATCTTATTCGCCGAAAATCTAGTTAAATTTCAAAACTAGTATTGTACATTATTTTGATCCACCTACATCATAAGTATTATTGTTTTAAACTTTTAAATTTCAAATAATCTATGTTAAGTAGCTATCATAATGCCCTTTGAAAATGCCGTGAGATGAGACCGGTCGGGTTTAATAAAATAAACATAGTGGAATAGTACAAGTGAATTTATTCAATATATGTAGCAAGTTTCACCAAGTGCCATCCATCAAGAGTATAAATAGTCATGTTACAGAAGGCCTCGGTAGCGCTGTACACACTACACACATTATTTTCGCGATTGACCTTAGATTGATACGATCTAAATATTATTCAAAGCAATAAGATAATTGTAACCGAGCAACTGTACATAAAGCATGGTCCTCAGCTGAGCGGAGAGGTCAGTCTTCGCTTTGTGTAGATGTTTGATGTCGTGGAACCTGATAACGTAACAAAGGGTATCTCTGATCTGGGATCGGAGGGATCGCGGAGTCTCTCTCGTGTAGGAAATACATCTTTTATGTTATTTTATTGTGAACTGATTTATTGATAGGTACCCTAGAAATATACATGGTCACGAGCGTTCACCCGACACAGAAGCCGTCTACTGACAGAGAATGGGGTAGTTCGTTTCATTATTTAGTTTTTCGTAATTGATGTTTATAACTTGAATTTATTGTACTAGTTGATCTCCTACGACTTTGTCTGCGTATAATCTGTACAATCTTTCATCCTATTTCACCACTTTCTTTTTTTCATTTCGTAAAAAAAAGATAGGTTGTGTAATTTTCTTAGCACAGAAAATTCATTGAAATAGATTTGTTTTGAATTTAGTCATGAAAAACTCATGCCTTTACTAGTCCACTACTAGACATAGGCCTCTCCATAGAACGGAGGGTTTGGCCTATTATATTACTCTGGCCAGACGGGTTTGTGTCAAGTTTTCATTCTCTTTGCAGTGCTGTGGTCCTACGTAGTTTGCTGCCTTAGCCGGATCTTAGGAAACCCACGAGATGAATAGGGGTGGTGATACTCTGTACTCTTATACCGTCACCACACATAAGCACGCACCACACCAATCTAACATACATATGTAATTTATGTGTTTCAATATAAGACGTGTCAGTCTGTCATCATCATGTAACATTGTTATAATTTTCTATGTAAGGTTATTAGTTCATAATGGCTATTAAATAAACTGTGTACATTATAGGATATATAATGAAATACACTATAACAAGTCGTTTACGTTGCAGAGGTTCCCGAGGTGGCGGGCGGGCCGCGCTCGGTGCTGGGCTCTGCGGGCGGCGCGGCGCTGCTGCCGTGCGGCGTGCGCGCGCCCCCGCGCCTGGCGCTGCGCCTGCACACGACCGCGCCGCCCGACCGCCGCGTGTACGGCGCCGCGCGTCTGCACAACGCACCGCCCTTGCTCAAACTTAACGTGAGTTTACGGATTTATCCATATCCACATTTTAAATACTCAAAATCGGTGAGTAATAATGTCACGCTGTGGGCGGTCGCAGGTGACGTGGCTGAAGAACGGGTCCCCGGTGCGCATCGAGAGCGCGCGCATGTCGCTGACGCCGAGCGGCGCGCTCGAGATCGAGCCGCTGCGCGCTCACGACGCCGCGCGCTACCGCTGCCGCGTCGCGCTCGCGCACAGCCCGCACACCTACAAGTGAGACTCGCGCAAACCTTATTATTTGTCCTTAATTTTTTTCACAAACTTCGATGCGTTTTCTTTTAATATTACACCAGGTGAAATATATTTTTTAAACTTGTTCATTGATATGATTGTCTCATTTAGGATTGTTATATTAAAGAACAACCGATTTGGTAAAAATAATATAAATTAAAATTTTGGAACACCCCGACACCAGCATCGCCCTAAGGTCAAGGTTACCGTGTCATGGCAATACCACAAAATTAATCGGAGTTGTGTAAGTTAGTGAAATTCCTTCATCAACCAAAAAATGAGCTGACGATCTTCACAATGGGAGCTAAGAACCATTTCAATTATGGCTTATTTATGCCTATTATTTATTATGGTCTGGTCTGTCTGATTATGATCTGAAGTAAAACTTCTTGGCTATGAGAGAAAGAGAGAAAGAAAATGTGTGCTCTCATCTCTCTCTTGACCCTACAGTAATATACGAAAAGTAACTCTCTCTCTCGTTCTATCTTCACTATCTTATATCTCCCTCTCAACTCCTGTTCGCCTCGCCCGATCTCACTTTTCGTAACGCTCTGATCACGCACTCACCAGCTTACTCGAAAAGTCAAACGTGCGTAAAGAAGTTTTACTTCAAAAAGATTGCATCATAATCGGTTCATTCGTTTAGAAGCTACGATGCCACAGACAGGCACACAGACAAATCAAGCTAATAATACACCTCTTTTTGCTTCGGGGGTTACAAATAAATATTGATATCGGTTCACGAATAACCAAGATTTTGCGTAACAGAACATGCTGGTTTTTTTAAATCCTATAATAGATTAACTTTTATTTCGGCTCCAATAAGTAATCTAAATACATGATATTTGTAATGAAATTAACCCAATCTATAATTTTGTTCACTTATGCACGCCTTGCTATTGTGTGCGCTGCAGAACGAGCGAGGAGACGGAGCTGCGTGTGAGCGCCGAGACAGCGAACGCGGAGTCCCCGCCGCGGTTCATCGCCACGCCACAACCGCTCACTGTCATGGAAGGTAGTGCAATCTACAATTACCTATCTGTGTATTCAGGGACAATGCTTCTCTATGACGTACCGTTTATTTGTTTTTTTGTTTTTCACAAGGCAAACAAATATCTGGTTAGGTTTACATGAGTGTGTTATTCCAGTAAGTATATTATTATACTTACGTTTATATGTGTGTGAACAATAAATAACTCGTTTCTTTACTCATTCTATTATTATTTTAAAACTATTCTGCGTTATCAATAGGTAACTTTCGGTAGAGAAAAATAAATGATTTAATTTGATAAAAATTAAAATTTATGTAGAAATATACTTAATTATTCTGATTTTGAGTCATAAAAGTACATTATTGTTTTATTTTATGAAAATTAAAAGTCGTAATTTTTAATCTGTAAATCACGTGACCTAAAACACGTGCCGCCATGTTGTGACGTCATATAGGCAAAAACTGCCAGTTCAGTGTAAACAGCTAGGTACATATCTATCAAGTTTATAGCGATAGCGACCATAAAGTGTCGCTGAGATTGGTTAACAATTGACGACTGGTTAATAATCTTTTAATTCGGCGTCCCACAACTTTTTTTCTAGAAAAAATAATTCTAATGCGACATTTTGACCCAATACTTAGAGAGATATAGTCATAAAATAAGAGAGAGAGAGAGATGAGATGATAAAATAAAATCATACACCACTTATCATCACACAACCAATCAAAATAACTTACACTTAGCGAGTTTCATTAAATATTTCAGATATTAACCCCACGTTAAGCTATTATGTCAGCCCTGGCTTCGATACTAATAATTGTCTTGCATTTTGAATACAGATATTCAATATAAACATCAGTAAAATAGTTTAAAATATTGGATTAAAGATTTATATTCTTCGACGTTCGTCACACGGTTTCAGGTCATGACGTCACTGAAAATCTTCATGTCGCGATTCAAATTACGCACAACGCCATCTAGTTACAATTTTCAAACCTAAATATTAAACAATAGGCATTCGCACTGGGATGACAAATTAGCTTTAAAAAGATTTTGGGCGTTAGAGTCTAAGCCGCCCGAAAAAGAATAACAATATGAGGGGGTTTTCGCGGAAACCACCAAACGTTTTGTATTTTCCATTGATTATCATATGCATGTTGTGTATCCACTGATCAGTAGCTTCACATCACAACATTTACTTTGTACGTTGTTTTCAAACTTGCCCTATTATACACATTAATCAGATGTCGCGAAACTACCGACGTTCCAATCGAAAGGCAACGACAACAAACACATGTGGACTGCGAGTTTCAGCATCTACCCGCACTTAGTCTGTATTTTTTTAAATGTTTGTATGTGTTATGTCAGGTGCGTCGGTGACGTTCGACTGCGCGGCGGTTGGCAACCCCAAGCCGGAGATGACGTGGCTCAACAACGGCGCCGCCATCGACCTCAAGTAAGCTCTACTCATAAAAATATGATTTCAAACGCCCTGTTCTTTGGAACTGCGGTATTTGGATAATTCTTTTTGTCTTGGACAGAGTATACATTGAAGTAATTTAGAGGAGATATAAAGGTAGGGCGGATAAAGGCGGGGCAGGGACCATAAGGTCGGGTGAACCTCCTAGAGAGGGCTAGTTTGTTTAAAAATATTGAAAAAAAAGAGATATATTAAAGATGTCTAGAAACATTTTCGCTTTTTTATATTTCTAGTGACCTGGATTCCCGTTTCTACCTGGTGGGTTCAGGTTCCCTGCGCGTACAGTCGGCGCGCTCACTGGACGCGGGCGCGTACACTTGTCGCGCTCACAATCGGCTCGACTCCGCAGACTACACCACACAGCTACACGTATTAGTAAGTAATGTTACAGTTTAAGTAAAGATGTTAGTAAATCCTTAAAAAATACGAAATTTGTCTAAAAAAGATCACAGACGGTCGTATGTGTGTTTTCTAGGGTGTACTCAGGGTAGTACCTCAGACCACTACTTCCTTTTTGTGTACTGAAGTAACCTTTAAATGATTAGGTTTTACTGTTGATATTTCTAAGAGTCAAAACCGGTAGCTATAAATAGTTACAACGTGTTGCAATCCTGAATGATTTGGTCGCTGCAATTCGGCCTGAAATCTTTTGTACACTCTCTCTCGTTTTAACGACACTAAATGTGGAATAATAAACTCAGTAACTTTTAAACATTAAAGTAATCATTTTACATGTAAAATCTACATTTCCTTACAGACAGCTCCCCGCGTGCACATAAGCGAAGGCGCCGTGCAGACAGCGCGAGCGCGCGGTGACGTCACTCTGCGCTGTGACGTCAGAGGCCGGCCCACGCCCACTGTGACGTGGCTCAAGGACGGGGACCCGCTCACGCTCAACAACCACGACATCGCACTCGTCGACGGGTACGTTCGTTTCACGATTATATTTGTAAGATATGACATATATTTTTGGTTAAATGTACCGATACCGATCGACCGATTCGTACCGATCCTCGTTACCGATTTACACCTCTATCGCGTATAGGAATAGTGTTATCTAGTTCACTAATTATTAGACTATATTATACATATCTATTTATTATTAGACTATATTATACATATCAACTGGGATTCTTAATACAGTGTTATTTCTTTATTATGTAACGTTTAATTTAAACGATTCTGTAGATAAATAATAATAATAATTTATAATAATAATTTCACACATCTCACACACGGTCGTCTGATCCCAAACTAGGCAGAGCCTGTACTATGGTAACCAGACTGCTGATAAACATACTTATATATTTCTAAATACATACATAATATAGATAAATTACACCCAGACACAGAACAAATGATCGTGCTCATCACACAATTATTTGTCCTGGGTGGGAATCGAACCCACGACCTCCGGTTTAGCAGTCAGGGTCACTAACCACTAGACCGACAGGCCCGTCAAAAATATTAATGAGAAATATTTATAACCATTTCCTAGCTTTCGTACTCAACTTCACTCATATTCGCTATCCTCCAAGTAAGGTACATTGTTGGTATTAGTGATGTATAGCTGTAGACATGTTCCGTCGTGTGACAGAACGTCGCTGCGCATCCAAGGCGTGCTGCGCGTGGACGCGGGCATGTTCCAGTGCGCGGCCACGTCCGCGGCCGGCTCCGCCGCCTCGGCGCTGCGCCTCGTTGTGTTGCCGCCGCTGGACGGTCAGTATTGCCAGCTTACGAACACTTTTTGACATGCGGCAACCCTTTACGCGATCACCACATCACACACATCAACGGCCTTTAATAGTCCACTGCTAGAGATAAGCCTCTCCATGGAAAGGAGGTTTTGGCCTACTACACCTCGCTGGCCAGACGGGTTGGTATAGGGTTTGTGTCAAGTTTTCCTTCTTTTTGCAGTGCTGGTGTCCTGCGTTGTTTTGCGCCCTTAGTCGGCTCTTACGACACCCACACGGACAACGTTATGATAGTGGTGTGCAGACAGACAGACTCGGTGTCTAAAGTAGACCGTTGGTGTTGGGCCAAGCTACATGATTGCTATTATATCGCACCTACAACTAAATGTCTCAACGATTAAAGAACCCATCATTGTCATATTCCGTAGATTGTCTCACTTCGACCTGTCCTACATATTATTATGATATAATAGTTAGTGTACGACGAGACCGTACACTATACAAAGATTAAATACACGATCATCGGCCATGGCGTGTGCTCCCTCGCTCCTTTGTCCATTATATTTCGTTGGTTCCATTAATAAATTACTCTTATTAATATCTATTAGACGTATCCTTTTACCGACTTCCTAACTTCTACATGGTCCTTCGAAACCAACCATTAAAGTACATTATTGTTTTTTTTTATAAAAATTAAGTCGTAATTTTTAATCTGTATATCACGTGACCTAAAACACGAGCCGCCATGTTGTGACGTCATATAGGCAAAAACTGCCAGTTCAGTGTAAACAGCTAGGTACATATCTATCAAGTTTAAAGCGATAGCGACCATAAAGCGTCGCTGATTATTACGACATTAATAAATTACTCTTGTTGATATCTATTAGACGTATCCTTTCACCGACTTCCTAACTTCTACATGGTCCTTCGAAGCCAACGCTCCTGATCTCGCGGGTGTTAATATTCGTAAATTAAGGTATATTTGGGTATTAGATACTCGCGAGTGACGTCATTTCGTGAATCAGTATCGGTTTATAGTGTATATTTATTATTTGATAACTAGCTGCGCCCTGAGGTGTTGCCCGCGTTTGTTGTTGTACCTTCCTCATCCCACGAGAACATTACTTTTTTCATGATAAAAGTAGCCTAGTGCTCGTCCAGACTGTAATAATATATCTCTGTGCCAAATTTCATCCAGGTTCGTTCAGTCGTTGTTGCGTGGAAAAGTAACAAACATAAAAACTTTCGCCTTTATGATATTAGTAAGATTATGTTAAATCTAAATTTGTTCATTTTTTCTTTATTTTTCATATTCATATTCCATTGCATCTTTAACGTTTTATTTTTTATTTTCATTTTTTTTTGTTATTTTTGGTTTTAACACTTTCCTTTCAGACTTTAGCAACACCACAGTTGAAGCCCCACCTTCGCCGAACACCACGCATGACATCTTCACAACTCTTGTCTCAGATCATGACCCCGTAGAACCTACGCCTGATGACCCTGACTTTTTAGGCGAAACGTCATCGGCATACACGTCCGGTCCTGATCTAGAATACGACGACAACTATGATGATGACGATGATGAAAGTTCACTGACTAGTTATGATGGGGACGATTCATCATTTAATAAAAATGATTTATCTGACAAAGATACGAATGCGCTTGATACTTCTGGTGTTGATAATGATGATACAATACTAAATACTGGGTTAAATGATGATGATGACTCTTTTCATGCTGCCAAAGGATTGGACTTAGACTTAGAAACGTTAAAGTCTGCGAATGCAAGTGTAGTGTCACCACCGCGGTCGTTAAAGGCCGTCATAATAAAGCATAGGTTCGTGACATTGAGTTGGGAGGAACCGCAACACAAAGGCGAGGAGGTCACCGGATACGCTGTCATTTATAAAGTTAAAGGAAGTGAAAGGTAAGTTTATTATAATATTCTTAAATGCCAATTTTTCCAAGTTTAAAGTCTTCCAACTATAAAGATATTCAGTCTTAAGCATACATTCCGGTAGGGAGGTGCTCGACATGACCCGATCATTTTTGTTATCAATTGTAAAATCCATGGAGACAAATTTTTCAAATCAATAAATTTTTAGTTGCCATTCAAACCCAACCGTATTGTCTCGTTCGTCCGTTGCGTACTGATCCCCATCGCGTATGTCCTGTCAGGGAGCGCGTGGCGAGAGGCGGCGCGTCGCGGCACGAGACCAACGTGGCGTCCCTGCAGCCCAACACCACCTACCAGTTCGCGGTCATCGCCTACACCGAGCACGGCACTTCGCCTCCCAGTGAAGTAAGGACTAAACTAGCCATAATTATACTGAATTGAAAGTACATGACTTATTCAATGGTCAAGTATTAGAAGTGTATATATATATATACACATATATATACATACATGTGAGTGTGTGTATTAGAAAATATGAATATTGACGGATTCCGAAAGTATGGTCCTAGGCAACCTCCTTGCGGCACACCAAACAGTAAAAATTAAAGTGAAATATTTAAATTCCTTAATGAAATTTCTTCGATAAAATAACTGATTAATATTGTATCATTTCTTACTTTTTCGTTAGTAGATAATTATATTGTGGTGTATTATTTTTAACTGGTGCATGTAAGTCTTGTCTCTCTGTCATCAAAATAAGTCCACACAATTATCTATGCACCAGAGCACTTAGAAGAGTACAATAATAAAATTTTACGGACACGTCATCTAGTTTCAAACTAAGCGGAGCTGCAGTATGGAACAATAAATAATGTAGTATCTTAAAACGATGGTAAACGAACAGATGATTGAAGTGCGTACTTCGGAAGAGGAAGTGAGTCACGGCCCTCCGATGAACGTGCGCGTGGAGAGCATGGGCCCTCACGCGCTGCGCGTGACCTGGTCTCCGCCGCTACAGCAGCCCGCGCCCACCAAGTATTCTATACACTACACCGAGGTGAGTAGTTGAAAGAGCTTAAACCAAACAAAGTTACCGATTATCAGCTTTCTGCAGATAAAATAACGCGTGACATAGATTTTTATACGAATCAATAAAATATTATTCATATTTTTTTCATGTACTGTTTATCACTTTTAATTTTGATTGTCAATTTGCTCAATTTCATTTGTTTATAGAAAATTGCGTATATTTACCGAACCCTTTGCTTTTCGCCCGACATCTGAACGTTTCGTATAAATATCTCCTCGCAGGTGGAGAGCGGTCGCGAGCAGTTTCACTGGGTGGAGGCGCCGGCGCAGGGCCCCATCTCGCACACGCTGAGCGGGCTGCGCGCGGCGTGCGCCTACTCGCTGCGCGTGGCGGCGGCGGGCGGCGCGCCGGCCGAGCTGCGCGCGCGCACCCTCAGCGACGCGCCCGCCGCCGCGCCGCTCAACGTCTCCGCCCTCGCCACCAGCGCCAACGTTAGTGCACTCACGAGGCCCTAGAAAGCAGCCTTGTGGGATGACCTACCTATACCTTATTGATGCAGTTTTGCAGATATCGCCATCTAAACTCCTGTATTTTATTTTAAAAGTAACTCATTAGCTTTGTATTAAGCGTAACTAAATTCAAAACGATGGCATCGGAGTTTTATAAGGACGAGTTTAAAAATACTGACTGATGCATTCTTATTAATAAAAAAAGTGATAATTTAAACGTAAATGTTCAAAGTTACGGGTTCCCGGTTAACTGAGTATTAATAGTGATTCCTCCCTTATAGTCCATCTTAGTCCGTTGGGAGGCTCCCCCTACCCGCACACACCGCGGCCCGCTCACCGGCTACAAGGTCCGCTACCGCGCCCTCCCCTCGCTCGCCGCCTCCGCACCTCCGGGGGGAGGGGGGGCGGTGAGCGGCTCCGGCCCGCCGGGGAGGCGGAAAGCGGACTCTCTCACGACGCCCGCGGACCAGAGAAGAGCCGAGCTGAGACCTTTGGAAACTGCAACTACTTATCAGGCTTGTAGAAATATTCAATGGTATTCTTGTCAGTTTCTAAGGCGATATATTTATTTCGAGGTTATACATTTATAGATTCGAGTGTGCGCGATAAATGCCAACGGGTCGGGTCCGTTCAGTGAGTGGGTGACAGCGAGCACTCAGCGCCAGGAGCTGGACGAAAGCAGAGTACCGCCGCCACCTCCCGCCCTCACAAGTGAGTCTTACTCCACTTTAGCTGAAGAATTAGAACATACAATTGATCGTCTAATGAATCATTCTGTACTGCTCATTGACTGTCGTGCGCTGTTTAGTAGTCAAGTAGGAGCCAGTGGATTCAACAAAAGCCTTTGATAACGTGGAGTGCAACATTATATAATGACTACTACCTAATCCGACTCGTATTATATGAATCAAATGGAATGTACTCAGGCAGTAGGTGAAAAAGATAATTTCTCCACAAGGTTTAAACCGTATTGGGTCAAGTCCGGTAGAAACGCTAATGGCTGAGTGAAAAAGTTAAGGCATTATTAGAGGCAAGTATTTTTAAGACATTAAAATATAGCAATCCTGCTCAGTTATGATTATATGTAAAACAATTATTAGTGATAAGATAGTGGAAGACTGTAATAAAGAAATAATCACAATACCGTGTACTTTTTTTCATGTGCAGCTCGAGCCGGCCGCGACTGGATATCGGTGTGGTGGTCGGACGAGGACCCCACCAGCGAGGTCGGGGTGGTGGTGCGGGGCTACGTGCTAGGGTGGGGACTGGGCGTACCCGACGATGCCTCCAGGGAGCTTCCCGCTCATCTCCACTCACATGTTATCAGAGGACTCGGTAAGACGGCACACTTTGCGACCTTATCTTTCGTGCGTGTGAGATCAAAGAGGACGCAAGATTTATTTTTAACTAAACTCGTATTTTGTTGAACAGAATCAAATTCCGAGTATGTGATATCCCTACGCGCTAGTAACTCGCGCGGTCTCGGTCCCGCCGTCTACGCCACCGTGCGGACCAAACCGCCAGCGGCTAATGAAGATGAGTTAGACGGTGATGATGAAGAGAGCGAAGATGACGATGACGACGAAAATGAACCACCACCTCTCATACCGCCCGTTGGAGTTAAGGTTAGTGCTGGTTATTTTAAAACAATCATGCAGTAACCACGTGTCCGTGTGGTGACGGATTAAGAATACAGAGTGTCACCACCCCTATTCATCCCGTGGTTGTCGTAAAAGGCGTCTAAGGGAGCAAACTACGCAGGACAACAGCACTGCAGAGAGAAGGAAAACTTGACACAAACCCTATACCAACCCGTCTGGCCAGCTTGGTATAGTAGGCCAAAACCTCCTTTCTAAGGAGAGGCCTATGTCCAGCAGAGGACTAGTAAAGGCTGTCGATGATAATGATGCAGTAACCATGTATATGTAAACATGTATGCATTATGTTTTAGCCAATGGCATTAGTTTCACATTGTTTTTTTGCTATCTGAACGCTAGCGAGTTAAGCTGATTCAGTGTTTGTATAAATAAATTGTGGCATAAAATGTAATTAAACAATGCTCTATTACTTATTTGTATAACATTAATTCCAGGTTATAATGTTAAGTGGGACAACAGCGGTAGTCTACTGGACGGATCCTTCGCTACCAAAAGGACAGGTAAAGAAATTATTCGTAATAGCTCACTAGAGTTAAATTTAGACTAGACGATATGTTAAATATTTTCAACTTCCTTACTTTGACGGCAACAGACAGCGACGGACGGTCGGCGCTACGTGGTCCGCTGGTCGAGCGCGGGCGGTCGGGTCCGCACCTTCAACGCGACCGACCTCAACTGCATGCTCGACGAGCTCAGGCCCTACACGCTTTACGAGTTCGCTGTTAAGCTTATCAAAGGTGATTTATTTTAATTCCTTTAAACTTAGGTCCCAATATATGATCCCTGGGGTACACCTTACGAATTCTGTATTACATTTAGTAAAATTTGAAAGTGGCTTTGTTATTACAGTAATGGTATAGTATTATTCACTAATGTTTTAAATGTGAATGTTACTTTGATTGTTTGTTTGGTACTACGTCACTGCGTAATGACTTATGATCATTGTGAGATTATTGTACACGTTATAAGAACGATATGATATGACACGAGAAGGATATAAGGTACATTTCATAAGAAGAATTCACGCTCCCTAGGAACAGATTCCCATATACCTTGAGCTATGTAAGAGGAAGATGAGTTGAACGTGACTTATAAGTATATTTTTTTATATGTCTCACTCAGGTGGTCGTGAATCATCGTGGTCGATGATAGTGTCCAACACAACGCTAGAGTCAGCCCCCGGCTCCCCCCCGCGGGAGCTGCGCCCCTCCCCGGCCCCGCCTCCCGCCTCACCCGCGAGGGCTGTGGACTTGGTGTGGCAGCCTCCTACCAAACCTAATGGAGTTATTACTGGTGAGAACTTATTACATATATATAATTGAACACTCTTAGTACTTATGGCTCAATAGACTATTGTCAGCTCAGCTGTATATAATTAAAACATTATTTGATGAAAAAAACAAAAAGACTAAAATAAAGCCTGAATCTGGACTAAATTAAATGATTGCCCAGCATAACATCTGTCTATGTTTACGCAACATCCTGTATTCAAAGTTATTAAATTTCAGGTTACGTTATAATGTACGCGGTTTCACGCGGCGGCAACAACGAGGAATGGACGGCAATAGCAGCATTGGGCGACAGAACCCGAGCGAGAGTGGAGCGATTGAGAGCTAGAACAACCTATCTGTTCAAGCTGCAGGCGAGGAACTCCAAGGGTTTGGGGCCTTTCTGTACTCCTGTGACATACACCACCGCCATGGGTAAGTCGAAACAGCAACAACACACAGTATTTGGATGAGATTCTTCTCGTTTTCAATCATTCATGAAAAAGTTTGTTAATTTTAAGTAAAAGGTTAGATACTTTTGTGGCGACTCCCACATACAAAAGAAACAGGAACATACTACAGCGCCATCTAATGAAGACACACCGAACTACGGAGTAACTACTAAAATAAGAATTGCTAATCCTGTATCGCGATATAAAGAATTCCCTCGCCGATTAGCATATATTCAACTTCCCAACATCAACCGTTGGGCCGCGGCCCGCCAGGCATGATCACCTCGCCTGGTCGGAGGACCCCCCTTTGTGTTGGAGGGACATGACACCCGTTCCTCCACACTTTCAATCACACCAAAAAATAATATTTATATCTCATCATACTAAATAGCTCGTTAGCTCTATATAAATTTGTCCATGTCGTTTCCGTTGTTTGGATACACTTTTATTAGAATCGAAATGCAAAACAGTAGCGCGTAGAGCGTAGGGAATGCCACAAGGTAGTGACGTGGGTCCGTCCGCAGAGTCGGGCGAGGGCGGCGGGCTGGCCAGCGCCACGTCGGCGTGGCTGTGGGCGAGCGCGGGCGGCGCCTGCGCAGTGCTGGCGCTGGCGGCCGCGCTGGCGCTGTCCTTGTGCTGTCGCCGCTCCACGCCACCGCTCTCTCCGGACACCAGGTATGTACTTCCTGACTGACACGACCACTGATCACATCACTACGCTTTACGAGCGTCTATTCAGATAACCCGGTGTTACATCCACAGCACGTACCAGAAATCGTCCGCCTCGGCCGGTATCAAACCCCCGGATCTGTGGATCCATCACGACCAAATGGAACTGAAGCATATGGACAAGAGTCTACACAGCTCAGCTAGTAAGAGTACGATACTTATTTTATCACGCGTATGTCATACGTAACAACGGTGTACATATACCCGAGTTATCATCGACAGCCTTTAATAGTCGACTCTTACGATACCACGACAATAGGGATGGTGACACTCCGTATCCTTAATCCATCACTACACGGATACTCAAATTTACCCTAGTACTGGTTTATTATCCAAGTTTAAGCGTAAAGCCCTCTTATATTGTTACTTAAAATTTTAATTCAACCAAATAGAAGATACTGTTTTGTCTAATTATACTTAACAACTATTGAGTTACATATGATACTATAGCTCTAAGTTCTACATTTTTCATAACATCAACTTTAAAATACCGATCACGTTCTTTTGTCAAAATATTTAAAAAGAAATCACCTACCTAAAACAGTAAACTTATGATTTAAATTGGTTTCCCAGTATCAGCCAGCAGCGCGGACGTGGGGGGTGCGGCGCTGGTCTCGTCGACCCTGACCCTAGGCAGGGCTCCCCCTGTGGAGTATGAGCCTGCGAGACACCAGGCGCCGCCCCCCGCCTCTCTCGATCGGAGACACTACGTGCCCACTTATGTCGGTATGTAAGCGTTTAGCGTAAGAGGAGGAGGTTTGTTACTTCTGACAGAACGATGTGATAGGCGATAAGGTCATTGGAATATTAATAACATAATACGAGTAAAAAAATTCTAGAAAGGGTAATCAAAATGACTTTATTTAAATTATTTCGACCATAAATAATTTTTCACATTAAATGGATTTTTCTTTGTGGTTCAAATAAAAGGTAGGTACTCTGTTAAAAAAATCACCTAAAACACACTTGCTTTCGAATTATATAAATCGTTTGAATAGAAATTATTTAAGAGCGAAGTATGGGACATTATTACAAAACATAAAAAAGGAAGGGACCAAGAATACATGCTTGTGGTACACCCATATTGAGAGTTCATTAAAAAAACCTTAATTATTGTTAGCAGTCTCATTTTTAGTAATTAATATCGAAGTATTTCATTGTAAAAACGAATGCACGTTAACAAATAATATATCAGCTGAGAAACTTAATCGTTCGTATGAAAATCTTGTCGACAACTCTATAGAAAGCTTCGCTAAAATCAAGGAATCAATAAATGGTTCTTTGTGATTTGTTATATTAAGAAAATGGTTTACACAAGTGTACTAGTTTCATCACAGTTCACTTATCATTAGTTCAGTTTACATCTTCCTGTGTGTGAGTGACACTAGTTATAAATTGTCCGAAAAAAAGCAATATGGCGCCTGGTGCCGTTAGGTGCGTCATTCTGTTTTTGGCAGGGTAGTAATTTTTTAATATATTTTTTTAAGTATTCATCTGTTACTCCATCACATTTTGTTAGGTTTTGCTAATTTCAAGTTACGTTAACCGCTATGAATGTCTTTGAGTTTTTATTATTTTTGTCCAAACGTGCATGCTCGTACCGTGCGGTAGCCTTTCACCCGTCCATTAGTGAGCACAGTGTGTTGTGACTAGCTTGCGACGTGGGCTGGGCGGCCGAGTCCCGCTCCACGTCGGCGGCCGGCAGCGACGACACGGCGCCCCTCCGCTCCTCGCCCGCCCCCCTCGCGCCGCCCGCCCCCCTGCCGCCCCCCGCGCACTGCCGCCGCTGTGACACGTGTGACTATCTCGCTAAATCATGTAGGTTTTTCTTTTTCAGTTCTTGCTTCTTTTCCATGCTTTTTATTATTTTTTGAGAACACAACTCGACACCATCGTTCTGGCTGAGACCATTTAGCTAGATAACACACTACGTAAACATTACCGAAATCAGAATAGGGACGGAATTTATTTTTTAGTGAATACCACCTACGTCAAATTACACTTCGGAATTTTAGTTTTTCCCTCTACTGTAACGTATTTGAAAAAATTGCAGAACATAAAATTGATATTATTTGTGTCATCTATGTCTAAAGCTCTAACGTTCTTAAGATTGGCTTTTAATTGTAAAACAATATATACTTTTCTCAAAAACGTCTGTAACGATGGAACATCTGAGGGTGTTTATTTCAGAAAAGTTCATCGGACATCTATCTACTGACACACTGACCAATCTTGGTACCATTGATGTGTAACAAATAATGATCTCTCGTTCCTGTAATGTTCCTAAGGTCTTCCTATTTGATTTGATCAATGAGCGCTCGCGATGCTGGAGTTCACTGACAGTCGATACATGTTACACATCACACGCGACTCGTTCTTTCTCTTTTAAGATACTAAGATTTGACTTATTAATATACATTTGAATATCTTAATACATCTGCAAATGATTTCTCTAAAAAAAACTAATATGTAAGTCCATATGTAGGTAGGTTATTTATAGGTATTATGTTATGTATGTATTATGTAAATTTACCAATGATATCTGAACTCTAAATGCTTGGTTTCACTTGTCTTCTCCTCGTAGCTATGACAGGCATGGGTGTGGGCGTGGGCGTAGGAGGTGTGGGCTGCGCCTCCACCTGCGACAGGCGACAACACGCCAGGATGCAGCATCCTGATCAGGTATGGTAAACTTTACTTTCACATCCGCAAGTGTTAAACGTCTACCATAATAAACATGGGTTTTTAATAAAGTTAAGTTTTTCACTATTACTTCGTTGAATTTTTTATTGTATTTTGGTATCACCTCGGTGTGTAATATCTTTCTCTACTTTTGCAATAACGAGTGGGAGAGTTTACCTGAAAGGGACGAAAGTGTGTAACAGGAAACCGAGGAAACGCGCGATATTCAGTTTGTTTACCGCGCGGTGCTATGTACTAATGTTACACATCTGATGCAACCGTAAGATACGCTCGGTTTCATATGTTATCTTGTTGTAAATTTCGTAATTTTGAAATAACTTTTCTTTACGTATTACGCTCTCTTCACGCATTCATCAGCTTACTCCCCGTAAGCTGATGATAGCGTGACGAGAGCGTTACGAAAAGTGTGATCGGGCGAGGCGGACGAAAGTCGAGAGGGAGATATAAGTTAGTGAAGATAGAAAGAGAGAGAGAGTTACGTTTCGTATATTACCGTAGGGGTAAGAGAGAGGTGCGAGCACACATTTTCTTTCTCTTTTTCCCTCATAATTGACTTCCTTTTTTCTCTCATAGTTAAACCATAGATCGTTGACAACCCATAGCATGAGTATAACGCTGTGTGACGTGCGTTACAGAGCACGCCGCTGCTGTCGGGCGTGGCGCCGCTGGGCTCGCCGCAGGCCTCGCTCGCCTCGCTGGCGCCGCACGCGCACGCGCAGCACGCGCAGCACGCGCCCTGTACGTGCCACTTGTCTCACACTCTACTGCAGCCTTCAACAGTACACTGTTGGACATAAGCCTCTCCTTATTAAGGAGGTTTTGGCCTACTGCTCTGTTTCACGTAATCCAATTATGGAAAATGACTTTTGATGCGTATTTAGATAACTAAATACGCATCAAAATTTATTTTCTGTTTAGAACCCGGAGCAGAGTGAAAGTTCCGAAAGTACGACACAAAGATGTCGAGTGTTATTATTTCATACCTAAAACTACCTTAGACTTACGACTCTTAAACATAAATCGATAAGAACTCACTACTAATAGAGTATTGACCATGCTCAGGAGTACGATTATCAGAATCCTTCCAGAATTACTTTTACGATGCCCGGACTGTTGATGTGATCATGCGTGGCGGCCCGCTACGGCAACGGTTAATATTGAAAAGTTGTACATATCCTTGAAAACTTTAATTGAGCAATGTAGAATCAGTAGTTCGGTATATCTCCGCTAGACGGGACATACAATCAGACAGAAATATACTTTAGGTATGTTTCTGTCTGATCGTAAGTGGACGTCGCCACAGTCTTAGGTCTTGTCTGTTCATCCATCTTGTTGATGAACCTCCTACACTGCATTTGGCGATTAGGGGTCTCAGTCCGAACTAATTTCCATTCTATCGACCATCAAAAATGTAATTTTCATTAAAAATATATATGTGTAAACTAAATAACCCTATACCTCTGCCAGGCGGTTCGGGCGCGTGTCCGCTGAGCGCGACGTGCTCGGTGGTGGGCCCGGCCGGGGACATCTACGCGTCCTCCGCCAGGGAGAGGGGCCACTACGTCGCGTATGAACCTCTCGGGCACTACACGCAGTGAGTACTACCCACTAATTATAAAACTTTATCATAATCCAAAATATTAAAATGACATGAAATACCTTCTGCAGTCGCGACTCGCTGAGCAGCGAGCCGACGGGCGCAGGGGGCACGCTGCCCACGTCGAGCTCGGCGCCCGGTGGGGGCCCCGGGGCCGGTGGGGGCCCCGCGGCCGCGGGCTCGCTGCAGCGCCGCGCCCACCTGGGGGGGCACGGGGCCCCGCTCCACAGCTTCGCGCTCGACAACACCTCCGACCACTCCACGCCCACGCACTCGCACTCACACTCGCATTCTAGAGGTACTGTCGCCTGATTACTTAACAAATATACCATTGATAAACTGATGTATTTGTGAATAATTTGTTACTCTAATGTCTAAATAATTATTTTACTGCCACAGAATTCTTTGTTGCTGTTAATGTAAAAAAAATATCTAATCACTACTTCTATCACTACTTCTACACTATCACTACTTCTTTGACTCAACGAAAGTCTTCATTCCTCCTCCGAGCCTTTTTCCCAAACTAGATATGGGTCGACCTTAAATCTACTCCGATACGGCTGAACTTCGATATTTTATGCGGAGCGATTGCCATCAGACCCTCCACAACCCAAGTACTAGATGATATCGAAGTTCTGTAGAAAGACTGTTATATTTTTTTAGGGCTCCAATGACCCGTAACGATTGCCACAGATGTTCTGACGACTCAACGTGCTCTCTGAGGCACGGAGGAGTCTCAATATGTTAAGAATGGTCACCCATCCAAATAATGACCTGACCAGTATTGCTTAACTTTGACAATGTGTTAACTCACTCGGTTACCACTTGACCACGAGCCCCTACACTTCGATGTTCTCCATACCAACTCTATATTGCAGCATCTTCTCGATAACTGTTTATAAGACTAAGTATTATATGATGCTATGTTTATTGTATGTTACGATACAAGAAAAAAATATAATGTGGGCATAAAGTCTATTGACCCCCCATCGTTGTGCGTGTGACAGGTAGCGTGCGAGAGACGTCCCCGTACAAGAAGAGCGCCAGCTCGTCGCCCGGACACATCCCCAACCGCCTGCAGCTCGGTACGTACTCCGTCGCGTACGCTTCCTGCAGTGGACAATGTCCTTTTATTAATGAAGTGATCACTCAAGTGGAGCAGGATATTTACTTAAAGTTTACTTAAATTGTTTAAAAGTGCTCGTGTATATTAAATTATGACGAAAGTCGATAACAAGGTATGATGTATATGATTCATTACTTCGTACAAAGTTTTTTGAGACTACCGTCCTGGCATTTAATTTAAAAAAAACTGATATTTACCTCGATCTGAACTGCAATACCTACTTTCAAGAGTCCTTCTATGTAAGTGTAATGGTTTATATATTTAACGTTCCAGGAGGCAACGTCGCCCACTGCTCCGAAGAGCTGGAGCCCCTGACTCCGTCGCGCTCCACGGAGCGGCTGCACCGCGAGATGCAGAACCTCGAGGGTCTGATGAAGGACCTGTCCGCTATAACTCAGCAGCAGTTCCACTGCTAGTGTCGGGCCGACGACTGTCGCTGCTGGCAGTGTTGTCAGTGTGAGCGGTGTCTGTGGTGCGACGAGTGGCTGCAGTGTCGCAGGTGTGGACAGTGCGAGGAGTGTCAGCCGCCGAGATACTGTCGATACTGACGCGGAGGGAGAGGGAGTGTGGCCAGTGCTAGTGGGAGCCATGGATTGTCGGTCATATCCTGACACGGACTCTAAGACATTAACCGCTAGCGAAGTTACTAGAACAAATATTGACTCATCACTGTCTCAAATATGTAACAATGGACTAGAATTATAATTGAAAACAGAGAACTGTAGGTATATGTACCTTGTGATACATCACGATTTATATGTACATATGTACCGAGGTGTTTTAATGGTCTAACAGCGACCACGTTCATATATCCAAATGCTATTATTCAAATGTATTTAGTACTAATACAATACTAATTAGCTATCTTGGATCTAATATGTTTACTGAGGTAGCTAGCGCGTGGTCCACTGCCAACGAACTAATTCACAGCGATTGGATATAAAAGTGGGCTTTGTTAGACTTTTTAAATTTCGTAGCAAAACAACTAACTGGACTTCAACGTGATTATTTACACAAAGTTTAAGTTCCAAACGTAATTTTTTGTTTAAATAAAATGAAGTTACTCAAATCGTAAAATGTCTCACGGGCACTATACCTACAATGATTACTGTGTACGCATTTTATGAGCTAACAGCATCACGAATGAAATGAACAAGACAAGTGAACAGAAAACAAACCCATGACTAGAACACCCGAACAGAATAATCGAGGGCGCGGTTGTGTAGCGACGGGACTCGGCGTCACGTGGGCAGACAGTCGTCAGTAGGAGGTCCTCTCCGGTGCATGTACAAAGGGCCCAGGAGTTAGCCGTTACCGTTTCTTCCCCTAGGCTAGTGGGCAACAACTGCAACAAATATAAAATAACAATGAATTAAAAATAAAGGGGAGCCAAGATGAATAACGAATTTAGTACTTTCTTCAAAAGTCCTAATGTCAACTTGAATTGTGTATGTACTTCATTGAATATCGGTGAACTTAGATTTACTTTGGTGCTCTCAGTAAGTGAGGAAGGTCTTGTTTTTCGTACAAATAATATAAAATACATTTCAAGCCAACATTAATGATGCACAAACCTGTAGACCTTAGCTTGTTCAATGTCCATTGCGTTGCAACAAAGATAAATACGTGCATTGCCTGTAGACAACAACGCAATGAATTATAATCCCATCAGACTGTTCTAAGCATTTGTCAAACGGAACAAGTTTAGATAAATTGTGACTTAGGTTTATTGTTTTAAAACACATTTTGTAATAGCATAAAATAATAAAATTAAGTAGCCTAAAAACATTAAAACTAAATCGTGGCTCTTTGTGTATGTTATTTTTTAAATTTAAATTAGTCAATTTTATATCGGTAAGAATGTAAAATTAAAAATAATGTAACGTCAGCGGCCATCGGAGTGATTACTTATTGTTATTCCAGCGATAATTATTAAATTAAGGTCTCTGTGCACTTGTCTGTAACGCACGTTAGTGTTCCAGGAATATGAATACTATAGTGTACTATAGTGTTATAGGAATACTACAACTACACTCCTCTTTATGAGATTGAACTTCTGATATTGACCAATGTTGGGCATAAATTGTATTACCTCATATATAGGGCACAAACATACCGATGCGACTCGTGCGTTACCGACAGGCGCACAGCTCGTGACGCCACTGCCTATCCCCTGTTATTGTGATTATAGTCCTTTACCTGTACATATATTTAAGTTTACTGTAGACATTATTATAACGCAGAGTAGTTAATTATTGATACGACTTTTTTATATTATTTTTATTTTATCATTAGCGTAATGAAGTGTAGTGAGGAATTCCAAATTAATGAACACTTTATAGATTAAATTTAAACAATGTACATACAATTTTATGTGCACTTTATTAAAAATACATAAGTCTGTTTTTAGACACCGAGCTAGTGTTTGCCTAAACAAATAAATGTTATTTAAAAAGGTGCACTAATAAAATTGTATTTGACTGTTTATAGACTGAAAAAAAGCCTTTGGTCTCATAACAATCTAAAACACATGTAACATTCCACATTACACCTCAGTGTGCGGGAGGTCTCGGAGAGAGACTCGCTCAACAAACTACTCGTATTGGTTAAGTGACGGCCTACACACAACTATGCTACAATTCAATTCATTATTCATTTCTTTGAACCCTTTTTAAGACTCTGAATGCTATAGTCAATTAATAGGCTGTGAAACAATTAATTGACTAATCAGTTATTGACTAAAACAATAAGTGGATAATGAATTGAATCCATCGTCATTTAATTAATAATTAGGCTCTACTGTTACTCGACGCCTAAATACGACAGATGTTTAGTTTTATACGTACCTACACAAATAGTATAGTGTATATGTAATACATGTAAAATACTAGTCAAGTAATATTTGTATTTAAATGTATTAACGTAGGTATTTGTGTTGCGGTTGCGCGTGCGGCTCTCGGCCACATCGGCAATAACATGGCGTCATATTAAATATAGGACTTTTAATTCGTCTAATTTAAAAACGAACGCCACTCACAGGATAGCTGCAATATGATTCGGTTGGCTATTCAGTCAAGTTGAAATAAACGCATGAACTCCGTACAAGCATTGAGCATATCAAAGAAAGAAGCAGTTTCTTATCAATGGGCGAACTCCGATCTTGGAATGTAGTGGCTGTGAGTTGTTGATGTTAAAAGTCCGGTAGTTTAACAAGGCTGCAGTAACATTGGCGGTGCTCGGGGCCCGCAGCGCGATGTCGCTCCGACAAAGGTTTTTTTCCTAATTTGTCTTAGATAACCTTTATAACCTTTTACTATGTAACTCTTCGCTACAACATTTATTATATAGTTAAGAATGTACAAATTTTTTGATACTATTAAGTATATTTGTAAATTTGCAATTTCGTACACAACACGTATTTTAATATTGATCCGGTGATGGAGTGACGCGTCTGACTCCCACTCCTACGAAATATAAATGATCTCTGAATGGAGTTGTCTCTGTCTGGTTGAGTTGACTTAACCTACTACTTAAACTACTGGGTCATTTACTGATAAGAGGGTAGGCGTAAATATATAATACAGATCGTGTTATATTCACGCAGAGAATCGTACGTTCGATAGTCTGTAATAATGATATTGCACGACTGCTCAAATGGCACAATGATTAAAAGTGTCGCCTCGCCACTGAACCACGCCAAGTCTTATTAATTCGATTTCCAAAAATTGTGAGATCCATAAATTGACGCGTTGTTTAGTTGTATCAATCCTACTGCAGGAGTTTTCTTACTTGATATAGTAGTTTATCTAAACCTTTCGTTTAGTGACTATCAGTAGACCAACCGAAGTCTATTCCGTCGGCGGTGGTACAGACGCGTCAGCGCATCTCCGGAGAGCCTCACACCGTTTGTTAATAGCATCCACATCGACTCAGCGCTTCATCAGATCTATCGACCACAACTCTTGGGTTTATACTCTAGAAATAAAAGTCTTGAGTCTACATACGATTTGGAATGTGGGTAGTTGGTGATATGGTATGGTGGTTGTGTAGACCGGCATTGTGAGGTAAGAGAATTGTTCCTGCATTGATTAGATCTGTTGAAGCGCGATTTTGTAAAATTTTGTAATTTGAATCGTCTCGTGGCGTTTGCATTTTCTTATAGTATAATATACATATTTACTAATATATGTATTGTAAATATCATTGTATGTCTGTACGTAACAGTTCTCTAAGCTAAGGAATTGCATGACGAATTGATTTGTGCCTGTACAGGACGTGTGATATCGGGCCCTGTTGGGGGACGGCGGGAATTACATTTTTTTCGAACCTCTTGTAAATACTTACAGAGGGGAGGACAGACAGGACAGAAGAAACACACGCCATAAGAAAAAACTTAAATAAGTTTTCAATCAACATTTTATATTTATGTAAAAGAATGTTCTCCCGTTCTCAAGCAGCGGAGCGCCCGCACACACTAGACTTGTTCAATAGCTAGCTATCAATATATATACATATACTTCCAAAAACACACAACTTCCAGATCAGCGTTCAGATTTAACGCGGGAACCACACTATATCTGCATATTCTTAGGAGAAATCTAGATACAAGTGAGTTAGCAAACAGACATTTCACAGGAAACGGTTAGCGACGAGTACAAGAACACCCAAGGTAATGTATTGCTACTACTGCCCGTACACTCCGGTATAACGATTAGAGCTATATTTATCGTAGAATGAACTTCAGCGGTTCACGTTCTACATATGCCTGTACTTGACGTGATGGTGACAGATATCGTGGCTGGTTCCGATGTTCGATCTGAGCGTGTTCACCGAGTGGAACTTTACAGTCGTAATTAAATTTAAGTGAAACAAGTGGACTGATTTATTGATTTTATGGTTTGTTTAGCAATTATTGTTTTTTGTGTGTCTCGTGCCGACCAGCTGTGTACGAACTCGACAAGGTGAAAACAATTCATCAAATGGCTTTTCCCTTTACAGAACTTGCTTTTGTAGATACAATACGCTTCGAGTGTACACAGTGACATACGTTGTGAATTTCGGTTCTCATACAACAAGAGACTGGATATTATTTATTCAAAATTGATACGATTGTATAAACTACAGCGCGTCTCGACCACTGCTATTGTGCCAATTACTCTGCTCTAATTACTGGCCTCCTAACGCCAAAGGATGGTTCATAATTCATCTGTCTATCCTGACTACTGTTAAAGAGGAAGAGTAGAGACTGTGTAGAGAGTGAGAAACTGGGTTTTTATTAAAAATATATTTATAAATAATCATCATCGATCGTCACCTCGCCTACGCCTAGATGTTATTACACCCACATTTGGAAATTATATCTTTGACAATTTTAAATAATATGTCTGTCAGCAAATGAGGGTAGGCATAGTGACGT